TAAGGGTACAATCAAATTTAACAAAAAAATATTAAAAAACATAAAAGCATTCAATATTTCATTACAATTGTTCTCTCCGCATTTCGATTCCTAATATCCTCAGTATTAGTTTCAACCAGAATGTCTCCAAGATTAGTTTAATCAACTTCATTAGTTTCATCCTCAACGTCCATTACATGATCAATCTATCATCCATTTCATCTCCAACGTCATTTCATATTTTGAACCTTAGTTTCATTAATATTTTGCTCATAAAAAAATACATATTTACAGTTAAAAAATTTGTCCGTAACTGATACAAACAATCAATTTAAATAATTCAAATAAATAATTCAAGTAATCAAAGGGAAAAACATTCAACGAATATTCAACAGAATTTCCACAAACTACTGAAATTACAGCCGCAATAGATGGAGCTTGATTGAAAACAATTTTCGAACAACAACAACTATCCTGGAAAAAAAGGATATAGGTCCGAATCTGGATGATGCACCATTATTGTCATTGCCATGCTATCGAATCATGCTTGTTGTCAATGCACCGACAATGCAAAGCATGTGCTTGAAGTAATGGCCAATGGTCTGCAACAAGCATTCAAACAGCGTTTGTACTTGTCGATAACCCTTCCCATGTGCTAGTATGCACAAAAACACACAGACCTATTTATATATATCAATGTTTGTGCTGCTTTCCAAGCCATATTTCTCTAAAAATATGTGTAAAGTTCTTGAACATTGGTGGGTACATTCTAAACTCCTGAAAGCATGTTTGCGGATAAACATGCATATTCTGTAACTTGAAAATATGGCCGCTATGTGACGTAGAATATAAGTAATGATGGCCCTTATCTGATGAGAGATATTGTTGCACCATTTACTCATTGATGTGGTAATACTGTAGCCATGCCCATATATCCGCCTCTAGCTACTACAATATGTCTTCATCCAACCTGTCATCAGAACATGTAATAGACATGAAGTTACAATCTGTGTCGGACGATGTATGCAAACTTGATTCGTCTATCATCTCGCCCAAGTGAGAGCACGACAGGGGGATATTGTTGTTGTATTTGGGAGCATCGAAACCAAACCAAGAACTAGGTGGTCGCTCTGTACCTGCATTAATTGCCAAATACCACTTCCCATTTTATGCACAAATAATTACAAACACATGCAATGACTTGAATTTGTAGTCTATGCCAACCATGATGGCTTTTCCATCACGTGCATGGAAAAGTTGATTGAAAAGTGATAGATTTCCTTCATTATGCAAGAATTATAAACATATTTCAAAAATAATTGTGCACCATGGCAGGCTTTTGGAGATTAGTGAATTTTTTGTAATGATCGAGTGTTGAACTGTTTGTGCGGCAGTGACAAGAAGGCATTTACAAAGTACACAACACTAACACATCCATAGCATAGGAGAAAATGTGAGAATCTCACATACAGGTAGTCGAACACGTTTTAATTAATATAGGCCGTTTTGTGATAAAATAAAAAAATAACACAAATGGGAGACATTGATACGATACATATGCCTGGGCATTACCAGCTCCCGAAACCAGGCATCTTGTTTCAATCGAAGCAATATACGATCCACTTGAACCTCAATTCAGGTGTTTTAGCTATATTGTATGCTACCCAATTGTTGGGATTTCTAAGAACCATAACACGAACATGTGCAGCTCATCCCCGACTGCGACTAGGCCCATCGAAAGTAAATTGTTGATATACTCGTGGAGAGTCATTTGACCCTCTTCTCTGGCTCGAATCACCGAGGCCATTTCCATGGATGCGAAAGTGAGGTTATCCATAGACTCGGAGACCTCCCTAGTGCCGAACTTCTTTCGCTTCCCCTTAGCATGTTCAGCCTTATGTTTCTCGCAGCTTTTGCAAAGGGACATACTCATCTAAGGGTTCTCCTACCCTTTGTCAGGCCATCAATGGAATCAGTAGTCTCAAAGTTTATAGGCACCTTATCATTTGGATCATACGTGTCGATGTCGAACCCCAAATCGAATCCACGTTGAGACAGTTTTATTGGTGTCAATGCGTGCTTCATGGAGTCACAACTACCTCTGAATAGATTGTTGTACATATGGTAAATTTCAGTATTGTCGCTGTCTTTGAACTTTCCATAACGAGGGTCTTCCTGCAATGTAACGAGGGATTAGGAAGAAGTTGTGATAGTACGAATCCATTTGTGATCAATACCATGAGCCATAACTCGTTAACGGACAACATTTAGTGCATACATTTGGCTATATTCTATGTCCACATAACACAACATTTAAACACTTGTGGTATCTACGTGCACAGTTGACTAAAAAATAAGCACACAAAGCAACACTTGCCAAAAATATACTTCATAGAAGCAATTCACGTAATAGTCACCGAAATAAAAATAAATAAATAAATGTGGATACATTCCTAAACAAAAATGTTTGTAACATGAAGTTCCCAATCACAGTTTGTAATATGTTTGTATCTTAATTTTCTGCTTCCATCACCAGTCCGGTGCAACAATTCTGCCCCCATTGCTGAGACTGCATGTAATTTTCATGCATTGCAGAAGCTCAAAGAGTAGTTTGTGGTCTGTGCGCATAGAGCAATGGTTTTTGAGTTAGGTGATCATCCAATCCTTCCAGGCATTATTGTTGAACAATTCACGTATGCATTCCCAACTCATTGTTGCGAAGCACTTTCTCGACGATGGCCCTCAGCAGTGATATGCACAACTGTAGCAATAAAGATCTTCTGCTCACGTGGTTCCCATCTAGCACACTTGCGGGCCTCTGACTTCTTTTCGAGGTGCTGGTTCGATGATGCACCCTATCCCTAGTCTGGATTTTAGGTCGTGTATGTCTGCAATATGGCACAGCAAAGTTGTGAAAGTGTTGTAGAAGCAGGAATTGAAATAAGTTCAAAAAAACATATGTTGCTACAGTATATATCATGGTGAGCAGCCACGATGCTAAAAAACAAAGGTCAACCAATAAATGTAATGTAATTAAAGCCTTGCCAACAAGCACAGAAAAGGGAATTCGAAATGTAACCATATACAACATGCGGGTGAAGAGAGTCTTAACATGGGAATGTAAACACAACTAATTATCTTGGGAGGTGATGGACAACTAGATGGGGATAATTGGAACTAAGTTGAGGCTTATCATATTGTCCAGGTAATAACCCCAACCATCGCCATTGTTGGCCATGAGTGCTGCTACATATCTGCACCGACCATAAAAGAGAACCACATTTGTCGTCGTCTTTGCACCGATAGAGGTTGAGGCTCGTAAACGGAAGAAGCAAATGGAAGCTAGCTGTTGGATTTTGTCATCGGATTTGTAACCAGTGGATACGAGTTGCAGTCCGCAAAATACATACTCGAAGGCGTATGGTTTGTATGGGTAAGCACCGATTTGTAGTTTAGCTACTGCGTGGAGAAATGGATGCCCAATTTTCATTCTGCAAGGGTTAGGGTTAAATGATTTATGGAGGGCCAGTTCAGGAAATGACAAGTTGAGAATGAGGGTGAATTTGTAAATTTGTTTCCAACTATTGTGTTGGTATTATCACTACAACAAAGTAACTTTTTACAGCATTCATTTACGACGTGCATGTCAGGCATGTCGTGAAAAGTTTGTTTTTACTGTGTACTATAAATGTGTACCGTAATAATTCAATTAGTTAGAGTATTTACGGAATACGTTTAATTACATCGTAAATGGTATATTATTATGATGTAATTTTCAAGCATGCCGTAAATGATTTATTTTTACGGCATGCTTGTTGTACGCTGTAAAAAATAAACCAAGTATATCTGGATTTTTTACTTTCACGTTTTTCCTTACAATTCACAGTACTCCATGCCCCAGACAAAAGAAAATTAAAATCCATACGTCCCTCTTCATCCCCTTCTCACTCGTATCTTTCCTTTACACATAGGGGCGCGGACCCACATGAGGTCATGTGAGGTCAAATGACCCTACAAAAGTTTGGCCCCCCCTCCCTTTTTTTTTATACAATCTATTTTGATGCACTCGTTTGGATGCCAAATGAAGTCAAAATATTGCATTCTTAATACCATTTCGAAGTGCTCATGATCTAATTTTTTACTCACTAATGGTATACGAAGTGGTCAATTATAACAAAAGTTCTGACATGTTAAAGTAGGCGTTTGAAACTAATATTTTAAAAATTTCGATAATATCCTAACTTTAAAAATTCGTTTGCAATCTTGTATTATCTGAATCCACAAATCGTCTATGCCATGTAAAAGTTTGTTTCGAAAACTATATCGTTTTCATATCGAATGATCGATACGTATATCGAAAATAGTTAAATATGTATCAAACGTACGCCTAAAAAAGACGTCTAACTCATTTTTTCTTTTAAAAAAATTCAATTAATTATTATTTTTGCACGATAAATTTTTCAATATAATTTATATCTTTTCATTCGGAAGTCTTACATGAAATATGACGTAAATTTTTTAGGGTCATTACGAATTAAATACAATTTGAATTACTTTCGAATTATATTTGTTTTAAATTTGAATTTCATTTACTTCCTTAACTAAACTTGAATTTTATTTCAATTCATTTAATTTCTATATTCAATTTAATTTACTCAATGTTAGCTCAACATTTGTCAATGAAATGATAAACAAAACTATATAAGTAGCAAAATTTATTTAGGGCCCGTTTGGTAGGGATTTTGAGAATTAATTTTTTGACCGTTAAAAGAAAAGTGGAGCCCACATGTGAGAGAAGAAGTCAAAAATTACGGTTTGAATAGTACAATAACGATAAAAAAATCAATTTTTTGGGACAAAAAATCCCTACCAAACGGGGCCTTAATAATATTAATAATGATGTAATTATACGACATTTTCAAAATGTCAAAATACATATAAACTTATTTTCATTCATATTATGTTATTTATTAAAAAAATTAATTTTAAAATTTTGATCCCACGATACTAAACGTCGTCTGGATCCGCGCGCCTGTTTACCCAATTCTAACTCCATATTTTCTAAATTGAGCGACTGTGCTGAGCCGTTCACTTCTTCATCTCCATCTGACATCCGCAAGAACTTGCAACTCTGCTGCGGCAACATGCTTCCAAAGGTAAAGCCCTAACTTCTAATTCTTCAAATATTCTATCAAATTGATGTGTGGTTGCTGTTATGTAATTGTGTAGACTATTACAGTATTCTGCTTCCTGATTCAAGGTTACGGTATTTTGCTTCCTGTTTGTGTTAATAGTGAGAAATGGGCTCAAATGGATGACATTAATGGAGCACTAAAGTTGGGCAGCAAGTTGAAAAATAAAGAAAAATCCTATATAACGAGTATGGGCGATTTTCTCTATATCCAACCCTCAGAACTGAAGTTCCCATGTTAGTCAATTATTATTTTTTTATTGTAATATTTTTTTCTTCTAATTTGGCTTTAAACTATGTCGAAATAGTTTTGTTATGATTCTTTTGATGTGGGCTTTTGCTGGTTGAGGTTTTTTATTAATTGAAGATGGCAAATATTTTTATATCTTTTTTCCCAGTAAGGAGACGTAAAAATTTGTTTCCTCTATGTTTAATATTTTTACTGTTGGGATTGATTATTTTTGTGCTGGTTTTTGTGGCCTGTGATGATGAAGATGAATTGAGAAAGCAGAGTTCATTTTCAGTGCAGTTCACTAATAAGAGTAATCAGTACCTTGCTTTCAAGGTATTTTTCTTATTTTATTGCAGATTATAGTCAACAGATTGAAAGCTCTGTTAAGCATGTGGTGATACTTATATCATCGTTTTGATTAATGGATTTTTAATGGAAAAGGTCAAAACAACCAGCCCAGAGAGGTACTGTGTTCGACCAAATGTCGGTATCTATTTATAATGCAAGCACACAAAGAGGCGCTCGATGATATGCAGGGCAAGGACAAGTTTCTAATCCAGAGTGTTGTTGCTCCCAGTGGCACAACAAAGAAAGATATAGAACATCTTCATCACCTGAGGCTGTAAGTTCTTAGTGCATTCCTTCCCCATCTACTCAACCTTGGGAACAAATGTTTCACTGTCTACGAATTTATTAGGTAACGAGATTGTTAGACAAATCCAATGGGAAATTATCATCATCCAGGTGAGCAATTATTTTTGTGATGTCTCATTCCAAATTCTGCAGTTATGTTGATAAATAATTATGCTATAAAAAGTATGAAGTCCATGAATAGTTCAGGTCGTATCAGATGTAAAGCACCTTGTTATGTATTAGTGATTTTTATAGTTCTTGCAATGATATTTTGTCATTCTAAGATGCAATAAGTAACTTCTTTCTTCTTTTTTCTTTTTTGACGATTTCAGTTTTTGTGGGTAAATAGTGAGGATAGTAATATCATTATCTTTGGAATGGAGTTTCTGTCCTTGCCTACTCGACTGTCTTCTATAATGGAAGTTTTTGTCTCTGCTTTCTTGAGTGCTTTAGATATTTGAGCACATGTTTAATTTGTAAGCCAAATACATTTTCATTATATGCAGTTTTTGTCTTTTTCTGTTGGTAAAGTTAGCCGATCATTACTTGAGAAGGATATCGTTTAAGGAAATTTATCATTATGTTGATAAAATTAGTTGATCATTATATTATGTCTATTTCTTAGCAATGTTCAACTCATGTCAAGAAGCAAGTTTGTCGTTCCTGTTTTAGTGAAGTTTCCATACAATTTGTAGTTAGATTTAATTTTTGTTACGTTGTTTTCCACGCACTTGTTTGAATAAATTTTGACAAAATGAGTGAATATATCTAAGTATATTATTTATTTTTATGATATGCAGAGAGTTGATTATTTTTGAGATAGCTAAAATGTTGATCGAAGAAGCAAATTTATTGATGTATGGAACAATTATTTTGTAATAGTTTAACTAGTTATTTTGGAATAGTAGTCTACATTTTGGCATATTTTAATGGTGCACACTCGATACTTTCGTTCATTGAATTTATGAAAAACATGATTATATATTTATTGATATATGATTATGTACTTTAATTATTTGTGTTTGGTGATCAAATAAATAATTATTTTTAAAAAAATTAGATGGAAATTTACGGCATACATTAAAGTATGCCGTCAAAAATATCATCTTTTTAAACGCGTGTGGATGCATGCCATGAAAAAGTTAGTATTTAGGGCGTGCTTTTTGATTTTTTACAGCATGCAATGTATGCCGTAAAAAGATGTGAGTATTTACGGCATAACTTTATATGGCATTCAAGCGTACACCGTAAATAGCTTTTTACGACATGCAATGCATGCCGTAAAAAGCAAACTTTGTTGTAGTCTATTATCCTCTGACACTTGATTTCATCAGTTGATAGATATGTCTCTGATTTGTAGGTTGAAAATGTTGAAAAATAAGGAAAATGAGAATTAAAGGGGCTCAAATAGAAGCTATATGTTGGTTAACGCATTCCAAAGTTTGGCAGGAAAGTTTTCCTTTGCATTTAATGCAAATATAATGCATAGACTTTTCTCAAATTCCAGACAGAATTATGAATGACATTAAATTTGCTGAATGAATGCGCATGCAATTGGAGCAAATTGTCAAAATGGAGAATGATTACATCTCGTAGCAATTTTCAACAAATAGAATGTCTAGAATGAAATAAAGAACTGAAGTGTTACACCTACTTATTTATAGTCAAAGTCAAGCAATTCAATTGGTCAAAATTAAGCAAAATAAGGATTTAAGTTGAATAAATAATTTTTATGGGACTTAAATTGCAATTACAAATACTTAGGGCTAAAATGATAGAATAATGGAATCTAGTGATTGAGTTTCTATTATTGAAAATTTAAAGACTAAATATTATGTTATATAAAGATTGGTGACTTGACTTGCAATTATTCGATAGTTATACACTAAACCTTATACATATCTATCCATTTTCTCATTTTCGGGGGAAAAAACAGAAAGCAGAGAACGAAACCATATAGAAGAGGAAGTGGGCTTTTTAAGCTTGATGTTTTCATTTCTCCATTCTTCTTATTTTCAAGAGGTAAGTAAAATGTATGTTACTTGAATTTTTCAAAGTTTATGGAAAATTTGCTTTAATTCAAAGTTTAGCAAAAATTAGGTATCATTGATATATATTTAAGATTGTAATTAGTAATATAGCAAAGAGATGTGTATTTGAAAATTAGTGTTGAAGAAAGTGGAATTTTGAATGGGTTTTTTAGATAAAGACTTAAATTAAGGATTTGAGTTATGATTTCTCCATTTTAAAATATTTTCGAGTAAGATAATACACTGGTTTTACCCTTCAACTTCTGCCAGAAAAGTGTTATTTCTGTCAATGATTTTTGTGAAAATTTTTCCATATACAGAAACAGATGCCAAATTTCAATACTATAAAATTTTAGTACTATTTTTGTCAAACCTTCATTTTCTCCGATTTTTTTATATTTGAATGAATTAAACTACAAATATTTAAATCTAGGTATTGGATTAAATTATCTATAGGGTTTAGGTTATATAACATAGTGATTTTAAGAAAATACTGAGTAATCTAAGGAATTTGATTATGCACAGTGATTGGTTGCTGATGATCAAAAAGAAGATAAATTAGGAAAATAGAGATGCAAGAATAAATATAAAAGTTGAGGAACTAGACGGTGGATTTGCATTAATTTAATTGCCATGTTTTAATTTGAGTAATTATAACATTATTTTAGGCAGTGATGTGAAAACTTGGAAAGTCTCTTCAATTTAACTAGATATTTATCCATAGATTTGTGAGTAAAAAAACTTTAAAAAATATTGATAAAGTGTTTACACTATTATATTACGTTCGATTATGTGAATTATTTGTTCAATTACATGATTAATGTAGAAAATATTCTTTCACTATGATACATGTAGAACTCAAAGATTGTATATGGAGTATTGTGAATTGGAATACAAGACATGTGATAATAAGATCGACCAAAAAAGTAACCATGATTATATATTTCTTCTAGTTCACTAACAAGCCAAGTCTATGTTCTATACTACACTGAGGGATGTTAACTATGGATAAAGGGGTCTTGACCATGAACATATAATTCATTGAAGAGTCTTCACCGTGTTCTAGAATTAATCATGAGAGGTCTTTGAGATCTACTTCCGTTTGCTAAACGAGCTTGAGGCCCGTTTCGAAAGTTCTTTGCACGATGGGCAGTCTACGCTCGTATGACCAGATTACAGATGTTAGTCAAAAGGTATATTTTTTGTGTTTTTTTCAGTACATTTGATATAATGAGATTATAATATTGATATCAATTGATATTAATATCATTATTATGAGATGATATTTTACAGTGTTATGAGTATGTTTCACTTTGGGCTATAAATGTGTGATATTATCCTGTAAATTATTAAATGATATGAACTTGATATTCAATAAAAATGTATAAATGAGAAAATTTAATTATTTTCGAACTTCTTCATTCACTGAGCCATCAACTCATATATTTTTTCAAGATTTTCCCTACAGGCAGCAATTAGTTCTTTAGGGCTTGAGGAACCTGATGATTTCAAAGTGATAGTCACACGATGTATTGAGTGATATGATTCATATTGATGATGAACAAAGTATTTAATTTGAGCCCATTACATTATTTTTTTTCCACGAGCTTCTTATTAACGCATATTTAGTAGTAAAACATAATCAGTCTTGTTGGTGGATTTGGTATCTATTCAGTAACTATCATCGACATCGTCATGTTTCTAGTCCACTAGGGTCACAGAAAATAGTGAAAAATAGATTTTATTTTATTTTTTGGCAAAGAGCTAAACAAGAAAAAATTGAGAGACTGGCTTTGCATAAGCATATAAAATTGAGTGTATTTTTTTGTATTCCTTTTCTTCTCTTGTTGATATAGTGAGCAATTGATGTGAATTTTTGGGCACAGGCATAATTGTCAAACCACGTAAATTCTTGTGTCGTACTTGCACTTAGTTTTTGCTATTTTTTTATTTCTTCTCATTTTAAATTTTTTACATCACATTGATGTTGGCAGAGTCAGTAGCGTCTAATTCCTGACAACCAATATAAGAGTTTTAGAATTTGAGTGGGAGTAATGGTGACAAATGAGAAGCTACCCAAAATCGATAAGTTTGATGGTACAAACTTTGGATTTCGGAGGATGCAAATGGAGGGCTATTTCTACCAGAAAGATCTGTATAAACAACTTCATGAAAAGTTGAAGGACATTGCAGATGATGAGCGGGAGTAACATGATTGAAAGGCTCTTTGCCTATAATGCTGATATTATCCAAGTCGGTCGCTTTCAACATAAAAAAGAGAAAACAGCATCTCTCATGATGACCCTATCTGGCATGTATGAACGACCGTTTGTAGCAAATAAAGTTCATTTAATTAAAAAGTTGTTTAATATGAAGATGGCAGAAGGCGAAGGATTTGGAGAACAGCTAAGCGACTTCATTGAAGTGATGGACCAACTAAACACAATCAAAATAGCTTTTAGTGATGAGGTTCAAGCTTTAATGATTCTCGAGCAATTACCTGAGAGTTAGAATGGTGCATTTACATAAATTAATAGCTTTGTTGGAAAGTCAAAATTGAAGTTTAAAGATGTCTTGAGTATTATTTTGACTAAGGAGATTCGAAAATAACCAAAAGGTATTCCCACTTTGAGAACCACTTTGAACGTGGAAAGCAGAGGCAAAAGTTCAAACAGGAGCAAAAGGTAAAACATGAGCAAGTTAAGGTTTGACAGATCAAGATCCAAAAATCCAAAGAATTCCAATAAATAAATAAACTGTTGAATGTTAAAATTGTTACAAAATCAGAGGCTAAAAAAATGAATGCCAAGTTTCTAAAGAAGAAAATGAAAACAAGATTGAGGCCAATGCTGTAGCGAAAGAATCAGATGATGGTTTGATATGCTATTTGGAAAGCAATGCAGAAAATTGAATAATAAATTCTGGAGCATCTTTTCGTGCTACCTTAACAGAGAACTTTTTTGTGAGCTATGTACCGAGCGATTTGGGAAAGGTATATCTTGGTGATAATCAACATTGTAAGGTGATTGGCAAAGGTAAAGTATAGATCAAACGCAATGAATCTATCTGTGGGATAGTTATCAAATGAAGGTTGTGTCACAACCTTTAACGATGATATTTGGAATGTTTCCAAGGAAACAATATTCATTGCATGAGGTAAGAAAAGTAGCATTTTTTATACCACGTCGAGTGCTTGCAGGATAATTGTAGTTATTGATTCCAATGAAGATTCTAATCTATGACATCAAAGACTTAGGCATAAGTCAGAAATGAGTCAAGTACGTGCATC